ATTTCGATATTTTTTTTACCTCTCCGAATACATCTTCCAAATGATTTTGCGATGAGTAACAAATATTTTTTTAAATTGAAAAGTATTTTCAGGAAAGAAAGGTTTTGACTTTGTACTACTCCATCTTCATTCAAAAAATTGTGGGAATCTTCAAAAGAAAGAAAGGAAGCATTCAATGTGTAGATCATGCAAAAAAGTAACTTTCAGACACAAACTGGAAGAAAAGGCTTTCTCGAAACAGTTGTTTTCATATAAACATTGAATTACACGAAAGAAAAATACTTTTGAAACAAATACTTTCATAATTGAAAATCGAATTCCTCCAGAAGGTCACGTTATCATGATCATGTATCCATGATATCTTTTGAGCAAAGTAGATCGCAAATTCCATTCGACAGTTCAAAATAACAATTCCGAATTTTATTTTGAGCAAAATACATATATAAAAAGCTATTATTCAGTTGAATTATACCGGCGACTTCGCCATTTTAGTCTAGTCGCCTTCGCCATGATTCGAAATTATCAGTGCCGAACCGTACGTAAACATTTGAAACAATTTATCAATATAGCAGGGAGGCAAGAAAAAAGTGTTTCTGTCGAAAGAATTCAAACCTTCTCGAAAAAAATCTCCATATTTGCAACACTAAACGAATCAATACGTACACTTATGAGAAAAAGGGTAGGGTTGCAATAGGGCTATGTCAATATATCAAAGAACTCTTTGACATTTCTAGAACTTCTGGTAGTTGAAATACAATGAGAAGATAAATAAACGCTGTTACGATAGGTGAAGGATGGAGTGATGGACTGCATATAGACTTGTGCACATTGCCAATCAATTTAATGCAGAGTGCAACAGACTGTTGGTTGACAATGGAAGCCACAGCATTCTGGAAATGACCTCTGACTTCATGCCTCCAACTGTCAACTACGAACTGCCTTATTAAGTACTATTCTCGAGCAGAGAGTACTGAATCTTCCAGAAGAAGGAAATATTAAGAGGAGGTAGTTGTTAATTCAAATATGGATCAAAAACAGCTTCGGTGTTGAAAGCTCTTGGCTCCTACAAAGCAACGTCTCAATTGATAGCAAATCACCAAAGACGAATCTAGTCATTATGAAGACTTAACAGATTGTCTCTGATCTGGATTCCTGTCCAAACTGACCTGGAAGGCAATGAGGCTGCTGACTCCCTTGCAAAGGGGGTACTGCAGCAGCTTCATTGGACCAGAACCTGTCATTGGCATCGCTTTAGTCATTGCCAAACAAAGATTGAACACCTAGATGGCTAGAAGATTTATGGACTTCTGGCACAATCTTCCAGGATTGGCTTACTCCAAGGTGTTTATTTACCCTTCGAAGCTTGATACCAAACTACAGAAGGGATGAATGGCCATGTCTAACAGGCCTTCTTACAGGTCACTGGCATGTGAATCATCATATGCAGAGACTGGAACTGTCGGAAGACAGTATGTGTCGCTTCTGTTTGGAAAATGATGAAACAGCAGAGCACATACTTTGTGCCTGCCCCGCTGAGGATTGAATCAGGTTTTTAGAGTTCGGCAGAGCCGTACTCTTAACATCTGACTTGAAAGACCACTCACCCTACAAACTAATCGGCTTCGTTAAGAAGTTGGGTTTATTTGGTCGAGTGTGAATAGGTGTGAGCCACAATAAACCCTTGCGGGTTGCGGTGGAGGGTCAAATAGACCCACTCACTTTGGACCTAACCCAACGTAACCTAGGTGAAGATATAACTGTTATAATTTCGGAGAAAAAAATTATTTACAGTTCTGGGCTTTTTTTAATGAAGTAGTTGTTTCAGGGATTTCAAATCATTTCATATAGTAGACAATGGAAGTCAGAACTAGTGAAATTCATCATGAAACATTGTCAATCACCTTCAAACAAACGATAAAAAATGTTCATAAACATTCTCAGACGTTTTAATACGGAATTGAAATGAACGTTCCATATTGGCCTTGAATCGCCCCTAAATGTTTAATATGTTCTGAATATTACTTTGACTTCGAAACTTATTACGGTAGAATTTTCTCTAGTATTCCTCAAAGAATGAGTGATGAATAATAGTTATAATGATATTCATTAAGTATTAACTAACGATTTTCAATTGTACTGCATGTTGGATTGCTGCGATATATCGTGAAATCACCTTGACGTAAATGACTTGGAATTTCCAGAGCATCTGCTCTGGAAATTCCTAGTCAATCTCAGATATTCATGGATTGGTATTTCTTTAGCTGTGCTTTTGAAATCAGATGTATTTATTTGAACTAGAGTTAGAATGCTAGGAAATTAGCTGCAGGTGTAGTTTTCAAAAGCGTTAACAACTGTTGTCGAAAAAAAGGAATTTCTTTCATTAGACAAACTTATTGATATTCAAACAAAATCATAAAACGAATATACAGGCCGTTTATTAGATGAACCCACTATTGCTATATAGGAAGAACCCAATGAAGTATAGAATAAGGAACCCGAGACCTTAGGTGAAATTTCAAGATCTATCTTTCTACTTTAAATGAATGAACAATTCAAGTAGTGGGCTCAGTCCAAAAACGGACTGGGTATTCATGGAAAATCGATATTGAATCATTTGTTATCGAATCGAAACCATATCCATACATAACTATCTTCTCTGCCTTATATGAGCTGTCATATCCACATATTTTTGCTCATTGGATATCCTGGCAAAATTACTCGTATATTTTGGCTGGGTACGTTTTTCATTCAATTTTGAAAATTTTCCTGATGCTTACTTTCCGATTTCGTTTACAAAGCTTGCAGAGGGACAAGCATAGACGCCTGTCTTTTTTGTAACCGCACTTTCTGAAGCAATCTTGTGCAGGAATATATTCAACAATTTCTCAGAGACCGATTCTTCAGTATTTTCAGCAAAACATTATGTAATGCCTTCAAGTGTTAATGAAGTAAGTGGAAAATCCAAATTTCCTTCATAATTGATTGAACTCTCTGCAATTTTTGGCAGCTCTCCATCAGATTTCTCATGAAGTTTTATGATGCCATCCAATGACAGTTTTCAGCTCAGGTCAAACAGTAGTTTACAACATTGATGACGGCAGCCATGTTTTTTCAATAACTGCCCACCCTAAGTCAGATTTTGATTCTTCGTGATTGAATAAAAATACCTGATACTTAATGAAATTCCATGTTAACTTTCATAGTGAAAAGTCTCACAGCAATTTATATAAGTAAGTTTTTCTTCATGATTATTGAAATAACGTGCTACTCTTTGGAAGAAGAAAGAACCAAGAGATTCAGAACTTCAGAGGTATCAAAACGTGTTCTTCAATACAGTTGCAGTTTTAATACAGTTACATAAAGGTTTTTTTCACGAATTGAGTGCACCTTATCTCAGAATTAGATCGTTTTTTGCCTAAAAAGTACTAATCAACTGATAGTTTTTGAACATTATAGATATAATAAAGAAAATAATCTATAATTATCAGAAGCTGAGAGACTAAACTGACCAGTATCTGGAAGGGTTCATAAGTGATATTGAGTGGGTTCATAATCCCACTACTTTTCGGGTACATACATCCAGCGATGAGTAGTCTCAAGGAGCCTCAAACGAGAGACTCCACACCCGCCAATAGTATTCAATACTCCCCACAGCAGAGTAAGTACTCATATATTTTATTAGGCAAAATAAATGAAATCACAGAATGTTTTAAATACAAAGGGCATTTTGATTTTTCAAATAATTCTCGTAGTTTCAGATTTTAAACAGATATTCAAACAGTATTATGAAATCGCAAAAACTCTACAATTTTTTGTATAGTTCGATGACGTTTTTGAAACTGATGATGAGTGAATTTCCAGTTGGTTTTTGAATGTCGAATAGACAAAATTTTCAAAGAATAGTCCATAGTTTTGGTGTGCCCATTATTAATTCATGTAGCCAATTTTACGATCAATGAATATCATTTTTGAAATGATACTTAATTTTTCGAATGATAGAATATTTTACGTATAGCCTCCCTCATTTTTGGCAATATTATCCCTAATCATTTGTACATTTCCGAGTTAGGATTCAAAAATTGTTACTAAAATTATCATATTTCTAACAATGTGAATTGAAACTCAAAAAAGTATTGAAAAAGTTAATTATATGTAAAAAAAATGTATGGAATTCATAGTCGTAATGGACATCACGTTGGTTAAATGTTAAAACCAACTCAACTTTTTACTTTGAGAATGTAAATATCAGCAATCAGTTTTTGAATTTCAATCGATACTAGCTTGTGCAAACCCTGCTTCTGAAGTTACAGAAATATTTCAAAAAAACTGCTGCGTTGCCAATCTTGTTTTTTCCATCAACTCCTCATCTACTCATCTTTCCGAAAGGATGAATAACGCAGAGTCATTTGAAAACTCTGAGTTTTCAATATAGTCAAGAATATTTGAAAATCGCCTATATGGAATTGATAACCCTCTTTTTCTAAAATACTGTGGCTAATTTCGAAAGTTTGATGAATGAAAAATTCATTCTATTATGTTATTTACTACAGGATACCTAGAAATCTTTGATATTCATGAATTCACTCGTATTTCCCTTATCAGATGTCTGAGAGTTTCGAAACAATAATGATTGGAATATTTCTTTCGTAGGTATCTACATTCCTGTCGGCTATAAATTCCTGATTTTTCGAATAGAGTTTTTATTTCACTACCAAGAGTAAAAACTCACGCCAGAATAACTTTAGCGTCGATTCCTCTGAATGGAAGGAAAAAAAATCCACTCCTAACACCATATCCCAGCTGGGCGATGAATTTAGAATCCAGTTGTGATGCACTTCAAGACGTGATGAGCATGGAGATAGACAGAGAGGGCATAATGTGGGTTATAGATGGTAGAAGAATATCTGCTGGTACAAAGTGTCCGGCAGAAATCGTGCTTTTCGATTTGATGAACAACGACAAGATTGTTCAGAAGCATGATGTTCCTGATGAGTTATGCCCACGAAATAACGGCTGTTTCTTGAATGATATCGTTGTTGATGGAGATTTTGCATACTTTTCGGATACAACCAAGTCAGATCCAGGTATGAAATCATTATGTTGCATTGATTTATATATAGCAAATACTTCATCTCAGTCCAACTTTAGAAAATATAGATACATTACTGAAATATTTGTCTATATATATTTTTCCGTTTTTGGTAACAAGTTATGATCTGTATTCAAAAAAAACATTTCAATGTGAGATTTCCACTTTAAGTTTACAAAACTGCGACACGTGTTTCGTTATACAATATCATATGCAGGCTTCACAATACTGACAAAACAAATTCTGTATCATACTTTCATAGTGAATTGAAACCTGATTACTATTACTACCTGACAAATATCTACGTAACAAATTCATTACTCACAATATTTACCTACCTAGGAAGAACCCAATGAAGTATAGAATAAGGAACCCGAGACCTTAGGTGAAATTTCAAGATCTATCTTTCTACTTTAAATGAATGAACAATTCAAATATATTTGATCATTGAGTCATAATCCACAGTTTTGAAATCGATTTTTGAGTATTCCAAAAGGTTGAGTTTTGAAATTCTCTCTTCCGAACGCAATACGTGATAATAGTGATTGAACTCGTGTTCATTGTCAAAAATGGTTCGCAAATGTTGAACTAGTGTTTTCATTACAAAAATTCAGATTATGCTCTTTCATTTTTTTCGAGAAAGTTCTTTCGGTTTGATCAATATGAAATTGAGGACAAGAACCACAAGTGAACTTTTATACTCTTCACCAATCCGTTACGATAATTTTTATATGAATCACGGAATTGTCTTGATTCGAATGCGAAATAATGAAAAACAATTATCAAAGGGTTCCCATAGAGGGTGTTTCAAATTCGATCCTCACCATTGGGATCTCGGAAACTATGAGAGATACAAAGATGGTTAAATTGGCTCAAAGTTGAGCATTTACCTGACTAACAATATGCCGTTGAGGAAGTTCTGAAATATCGATTATAGCCGAAGATATCCGGAAAAACAGAAATTTCGAAAAAGGTTCTCATTTTTTTTCTGGCTTGCACTTCCACATTGCACTTTCACATTGCCACTTTTTCCCTGCTACATATTGTTGTTTTCAGATTTGCTATCCGACGTTTCGTCTTCCGGCCACCATTATCAACTTTATTTTTTCTTATGGGCACAACATTGGGTTCTTCTGTATTGAAAAGAACCATATTTTGAATAGAACCAGAATTTGAAACACCCTGAATAAGCTAGCTTTCTTATGTTAATGTTAATGAATATATTGTTCTCCGTCGCACCGTCATGTCGTTGACAGGGAATGATTGAAAACCAATTCAACTTATCCAGTATGTTGATAACATGAGGTATTTGTAGTTTTGCTATAAGTAACTGATAGGCATTCTCCAATTATTTGCAGTATGGGTTGATGACGTCTTGATAAAACTCACACAAACAATTTTTCAAACGACAAAAAATGTCAGTACGAAAATAAACATCATTGTTCAGTTAGAATCGTCCTATCTGTAGAAAATATTTGAGGGAACTTGTATCCAAATTTGATTGTATCCAGTATTTGAATCAAGAGATGAAGAAATGTTTCCAAATTTCAGGTGAACTGCTTTGATACCTGTCCTGGCCAAAATAATAAAGAGAGCAATTGCGTTCGGAATTTCAAGTTCTCTCGAGGCCAACAATACACTGACAGAAACACAGTTCGGTTTAAGAAAGAGCAGAAGCACTTCAAAAGCTCTGATACGAGGATTTGAACATAAAAAATCTGCTGTTGCTATATCTCTGGATCTGAGCGAAGTCTTTGGTTGTGTTTTGAAGGATGATCTGCTTGATGAAGTCGAGTACTATGGAATCATAGGAACAACATCAATTCCTCTTCCTTCTCACCTACAAGACGGAAAAAATGTGTCTTTCATAATGGCATCTTCAGCAACATAACAATCGTCATAAATGGCGTTAAACAAAGAAGTATTGTTGGATCGTTGTTGTTTCTTATATATGGTATTCCAATCAAGATGCCTTGAGGACAAAGCAGTAAAATCGCAAGAAATATAGCTTGTCCCATGTATGACATAGCATTCACATCTACAGACTGATCCGTTCAGGAAAACCTATATTCTGCGGAAAATGAAAGATGGCATTGGTATAGATGCAGCTCTCACAGCATATATTTCACAATGAAATGACGTAAGCACTTATCACTTTGGGAATATTTACATACACGGATATCGTGTTCAAAATTCAGAAAAGGACAATGTGCGCTATCGTAGGCAACCGACAATCTGAGTCACGAAAACCTTGGTTCATCAAATCAAACATCCTAACACAACCATTATCATCTGCTGTATATTGAAGAAAATCAAGGTAAATACATGATTGATAGAAATAAAATCGAAACGATATACAGATACCAAACCAGAGTTTGGGAATACCAAGAAGTGATAATTCGGCTGTAAACATATTCACTATTCACCCGTGTTGAAGACAATATTGCTGTAACACAATTACATAATTCTATTACGAATTATGACGATGAATGAAGATTCTGTTCGATTCATGTAATATAATTCAAATGATTGAGTTATGTTTGCTATTGCTGAGAATTTTGGTGATTTCATGGAAGCAATATTTTGATGAATAAATTACCATATACCTGAAATATGTTGGTATTCTCACCCACAATTTCCAGTGCAGTTTTTTCAAGTCGTTCAACATCTAGAAATTCAAAATAAAATTGTTTTATGCCTTTCATGGCTACGGTGGATATCAATCATTACTATAGGCTATAACATCTCTTCAGATCTGACTAGTAAAAATCAAAATCAGCAGCTTTCGGTAACGGATAAAAAGGATGTGGAATAATTGAAGAAATTGAATGAAGTCATTTTTGTTAATGGACTTTGAGGTTTCCATTCATTTGTTGTGTCGATTATTCAAAAAGCAATAGGCTTAACAATTTCAAAATGATTTAGGAGTAGGGTCATACAGTACATTTTTTTAATGTCCCCCTTCCTTTATTTTTGGAACGGGCCAACTCAAAAAATAATTGAAAATTGATAAAATGAATATGATGCATGAATACTTTATTTTGAAGTGAAACTGACAAATGTAACTTTCAAGATGGCGACTGGGCGCCATCTGGGGAAAAATTGAAAAGAAAAGGAGATCTTGGGACACATCATTTTGAAGCTCCTGACAAATATATCTTCACCTTTTACAAAATGGCGAAACATTTAATGATTTCCTGAAGACAAACACATCAATATCGATATTTCTAGAAATATTT